GTTTATAATATATTCTTTTTTTACTGCGCTGAGATACACTTTTATTCTAGTAATTTACCTGTAGACATTAGTTCTGAAGGTGTGGAAAGACCTGTACTAACAGGATGTCCAATCACTAGTTTAACCACTTCTCCAGGTTGTTTTACTAATGCTCGAGCATCTTTTGTTTCCATCTAAAAAATGTGATGTTCCACTATACTTTTATTTTTTTAAATTGAACTAGTCCCTTCAATATTTATAAAATAATACAATAAAAAGAAAGACACAAGGTTCCAAACATAAGCAAAAACGTGTCTTAATTGAAAAAAACTTCTATAAATAACAAGTTATCAACGGAGACACTCCATTGAAATGGTTTGGTAAAGCTGCATAGTATCATAAGCTTAGTATAAAACTACAGCACAAATATTTCCAGCTTTAGATTACGCCAACCTGTCTTGTTGATTTGCCTTGAATGAAGAACACCTTGTCGCCCTTTTCTATTTTGTCAGTTCTATCCGCTAGGCTACCCGTTATAACCTTTTGAACCTAAAAGATTACAGTTGTCAACATTGTATTTAACTGGTTTCCAAGTTCAGCAAAAAAATTTTTGATAATTCAAAAAAGTTTTTTCAGTAATTACCGTAATGTACCGCTGGTAAGTCCCACTTGAGGTAAAAATGAGTCCAAGCGATGTGTCTAGAGACTTTGATGGTCTTCTCAGATTTACCGTATAAATATCGTGGTCATTAAAATCAGAGCCAAGAATTTCCTTACATGAGGATATCTGCAAAATGCATGTCAACTGTTTGCTACTGAACAAACGTTTGCGATTGTCTATAAAGCAATAGAAATGCTACACAGCTAAACACGTTTTTTCCAAATACAGCTTGGTTTATAACCACAAATAAACCTTAATATGCTACTGGAATTGTCATGCTGTTATGCTGCTTTCAGCTAACTTTAGATGCGCGTAAAAAATTTCTATATTTGAGTAAGTAAAGTGATATGTCAAGAAAATTGCTTAGTCTCATTCAAATATGTCTGAGAACATGATAAACAAAACAAAATCTCGCTAGTATTCGGATATCGCTTTAACAAATGAAATTATTGAGAATAATTATGCTTACCTCGTCAGAAGTTGGTTTTTCGCGAACGGGCATGTCGTCAGCAGACAAAAATTTGTTCGGCTCTTCTGTGGAGATTTCAGCAATTTCTGATTCAACCCAATCAGGTCTTAACTGCCTTCCAATAATATCATTTTCAGTTATGTCTCCAGTAATACGAGTCAACAGTGTACTATGACTAGAGAGAGGAGGTGGAGTTGGTTCTAAAAAGTAGCAAAAGATGCAAGGAATAACATCTTAATTATCTATAAATCCTGCAAATCCAGCAGAAAGATCGCAATTTAAACGTAACAATTTTATTTTTAAATTGCGGTAGCTGTAAACCAACATACCACTTTCATTTTACTGTTTAAAATGCGTATTCTCTGCAGTAACTATATATCAATATTAGATATTGAAAAAAGTAAAAAAATTACTTTTCTCTTCAATTTCTTTTAATTTACTGTCATCTAACGTTGAAACTGAGGGTCGTTCACTAGCAGAACCACGCCTCTCAAAAGTATGCATTCTCGGGGATGATAACAGCTCTGTTTTAGAAGTTGAAGAAGTGCCTTTATACTGCTGCCGTGAAGAAAATGTTTCTCCGCTTAACTCCGAACTAGTAAATTTTGGAGGACTAGTCGGTGACTTTCCACTGAATTGAAATATTGACGCTGTTGAATTCAACGAATTTTTTTTTTCGGAAGTGGCTGGCGGAATTACTGGCGACTTTGGTGAATAAATTCCTACATCAAAGTGTTTTGGCGTTCGCGGAGATGCAGATGGTCCTAAGCTTTCTCTTGGCGTAGGAGGCCGTTCAAAAACTGCTGCATTTTTCGGTAAAGGTATTTTTTCTGTTCCACCTTGTTCCAGCTAAAATGTGTGCCAAATATATTAAACAAGTATCATGTTTTAGCTACACTGATAAAATGTAAAATATTTAATAATTGTTATCAGCCGAATTTAATAGACAGCAAAAACGTAAGGGTAGATGGCGAGTTTGTTTAATTTTGTTTCGTGGAAACCTGTGGTTGCTGTGTGTTTTTCGATCTTTTCACTTAAAATATTACATGTACCTGGACAGGGATTATATTCAAAATGCTTATTTAGTTTTTGTTGTAAAAACCAGTCTTTAAAAGTAACATTAAAAGTTTCCATTTAATACTGCTATTGTTAGCGCTATAGAACTTACTCCGACCTTTTCAATTATGCTTTTCACAGGTGGTTGTCGGCTAAAAGAGCCACGGTATGTTGTAATTCGTTCTCTGCTTGGCGACGTAGGCGTTGTTGCAGCAGGACTCTTAGGTGACTTTTGGCTAAAAGACGATGGGCTTTCATCTTCGTCTTTTAGCCATGGAAATCGAGAAGGAACAGGTTTTCCACCTCTTTCTCTGGGTGATATATAACTAGTAGGAGAAAACGGAGTATTCTTGCTTTGAGGGGAGGGGGCAGTAGTGGTAATTAACGGATTTTGATAAACTGAATCTTTTAGGGCGCCAGTTTTTGACTCATTGACTTTTGTACTCTCTTCCACTTCCCACTTGTTGTCATCTTTATCGCGGTTGAAAGCTTTTGTGTATGGGGCAGGCTTGATAGCAGGTTGGGTTTTTTCTTCTTCCATATTTGCTGGCTGTTTCGAGTATTTAAGTGTTGGTTCACTGAGTTTTTCTCGAGCTGCTTCTTGGTGTTGTAAAGTGACAGGACTTTTGACTAATGTATCATGCTCTTCATCCAATCTAAACTTGTAGAAGAAAAGTGTATTGCTTTATTAGTAAAATACAACAAGTAACAAGTAAAAAAAATGTATTATGGAACGTTCTCTT